TAAGCCCCTCTTAATAGACTGATTGAGTGTAAGTTTTAGGATGAACAGATATTGAACCTAATAATAGACTGCCAAAAGCAGTTGGAATGTAGGACTTGGATTAAAGCATCCTTTTGTTTGTACCATCGCATCTTGGGGTCCTTGTCGCTAATACATAACTGAAAGACTGAAACAGATAAATCAGGCTTTTCTTGTTATTATTTTGTCTGATATTAGTTTATCATGGAATCTGTTGGCTACCAAGCATTCCAAGCTTCTTGATTTTACAGTAGCTATTGCCATCTAGTGGGCATATTCATTACATTTCCTTTAATAAATCTACCAAATTAGGGCGATGCATGACAAAAAAGGAAAAAGATGGATATAATCTAGCAGTTTTACATGAGCTAGTCCTTGTCCGAGATTAAATTATTGGTTTCTTGAGCTAGTATTATGTTTATCCGTGGAATAAAAGCAAATACAATTTTGGTTTTATTTTAGGTGAAATGCGCTCAAATCCTTCTCGAAGCTGGGGCAAAAGTGGATGCTTTGGACCAGAATAAGAATACCGCACTTCATGGATGGCAAGACTCCCATCGATGTTGTGTAAGTACTCCAGTGTCTTTGGTTTTAGAGTTATAGTGAGCTGACCTCTTAGGAGTGAGTAATGGCTATTTGCTTCCGTATTGACTGCAGCACTCTCCAAAACATGGTTGGCAAGACTCCCATCGATGTTGCCAAGCTCAACAATCAGAATGAGGTAGTAAAATTGCTGGAGAAGGACGCCTTCCTTTAAACTGTGAAGTGGGGGCAATGCCAGTGGTATGTGCATGTTTGGGTGGTATCATGTTTGTGATAGGCACTTGATTTTACTTTGCTATTAGACGAATTTGGTTTGCTTCTGCCAGGTTGCCTACATTCTGCTAAGTTTATAAATCTACTGCTTCTTCTTCTTCTTCTTTTTTTTATTTCCTGAAATAGTTTCTACAAGGGGAATAAGGTTGAGACATGAAAGTAGAATATGTGTTGTCTGCCCCTTTTCAAGAGGATACGCGTCTCAAGCTCTGGCAAGTTTTTCTTTTTTTGCTTTGCATCTCTCTTGCGTAGGTTCTGGTTCTCATCTTGAGTTTCATTTTTTTTCCTTTCGAATTTTATACTTTATTCATTAGCTACTGTAGCAAGATACGGGCATTTAATATATTTTATTTTATTTAAAATTGAAGTCAAATTCTATATATATCCTGCTATTATAATTTAACTTTTCTAAATGTCAAATTCATCAAGTGACTTTAGTAGTAAAAGATAAAGTTATTCTCCCTAAAGATTTTGGATTCGAATAACTTCGTCTGTAGAGTGCATGTGCATTGTCAATACGTTAAAAAAATTCCTAAATATCTATTTTCAGTTTTGAGGTTACTTTTCTTTCCACAAGTTTGTCAAATTGACCTCCTTTTTCTTCCAAATGTGTGGGGTACGATTTGATTTTTGTATAATTGAATAATTTCTGCGTTTTTGTCTTTTCCAAATATATCAGAATTTTCCTAATTGTAGAAAATAAATCAGTGGATATGTGTTTGTTATGTTATTACATATAAGTAACAAATCGTGTTAAATTCTTTGGTGGGATATTTTTTTTTTTTAAAAAAAAGTTAATTATCAGAATTGAAAAAAAAAATAATTTTACAAATAGTGTTAAGTTGATATCAAATATCCTTTTATATAGATTTTAAAAATTACAAAACAAACTAAATTTATTAAAATATATAGTAGGAGGATCCTTGACCAAAATTGATTAATATATTTCACTTGGAATTTGTCGAATTAGGACCAGCAAAAAATAAATGACCTGGGTTAGTCGGTTCAATCAATTATAAATTTTCTATTATCGTATACGATTTATATAAAGTTGAAACTATATTTTGGAGAAAAAAAGGTGACGAGCGGGTATACATAGAGAGAGAAACAAAAGATAGTTGATCGATGGTAGAAAACAGATGCATAAAATTTCAAACTCATACTATGAATAGAATGATCCAACTGGTGATGACCATCGGTTAATATTTAAATTGAATGAATTTTTAACGAGTAGAAATAAATTATTTGATATCCGATTAGAAAAGTTAGCAAATAATTCAAAAAATTTAATGTATTAAACTTTTAATTTTTTACAATGAAATTATTAATAATAATATTTATATGTTATTTTAAAAAATATATAATATAAGATTATCATATACTTAAGGTTCACGTTTGAGTTAGAGTTTAAGTTTGAACCGAGTTAACTCTGAGAATGTTTCGAATTAAAATTTCTTCGAGCTCAAGTTTCAATTTTTGATTTCGTCCTCGATTCGGGCTTGAGAATTTTTAAATTTACGAATTTTCAAATCGATTCGGACTCAATTTTAAACTTTTTCAAGTCGAATCGAGTTAGATAATATTCGACTCGTTTATAGCCCTACATAGAACATTCTTATATCATTCGACCTCCTCGAAAATTCAGTGGCAGCCATGGTACCAAAATAACTTTGAGATTGATGCTTGTGGTTATCCAATTTCCAAGAGTCTCATATTTGCCCAAGTTTGATACTGAATTTGAAGAAGAAAAGAAATCCGGTTGACGATGATGAATCTATAGCAAAGAGAAATCAAAGGAAAGAGGTTGAGTTTTGTAGAAGAAAACCGGTTGTAAAAATCTGAAAGACCATTGGAGCTCGGCAACTCCTATACATGAAGCATTATCTGCATTCACCGGAGAGGATCGGTCATAGGGCTGCAGGGTCATTTTTAACTGTTACCAAAGTCAAGTGATCTTCTTAGTTTACGTGTACTTTATGTTGTTCAGAGACCAGAAAATGTACCCCAAGTGTCCCTTGTATGGTGATAAAACGGCTTATAACAGGACTGATATACGAAGACCCGAAGCCAGAAAATATTCTGACAAAACTATTATTTTTTATTTAGTGTAAATATTGTTATTCATGATAGAAGACGTCCGAATCACTTGACGACTTTAGGAAGATGTATGGATCACTCGACGACTTTAGGAAGACCGTAGCATTGTCAACTTGTGTGCATGTATGAAATTTGGGAAAGTCATCGGATGATCCATACGTCTTCTCAAAATCATCGAATTATCCTTACGTTTACCCACAATTGTCGAATGGTCCAGACGTCTTTTTTCATACACAGTAGCATTCAGACAATATGAAAAAATATTTTTCCAACCCCTTCGTATGGGATATTTTTTTTTCAAAACAATATTTGAACACTTTTTCCAAATAGTCTAATTCAAAGGATGGCCACATTGTAAAGTATTAACAGACCAGTGACAGAATTATGTGTTGGGTTGGGGGCCACTGCCCTCCTAATTTTTTATCATTAAAAAATATATAGGGATAAATATATATTAAGACCTTCAACTTTTGGTTTGTTTTGATTTTGTCCCTTTCATTTTCTATAATTAGTTATATCTTGTCCTCTTGAATTAGAATCTGGCTCCGTCCTTGTAACATACATTGATTTATCTTTTATGACTTGTTGAAACTCCAATGCACATCATTTTTTATTCTATTATATGTTTCTACTTGGTATTTGATAAAATTGTTTGATTAATAATCATAGTTTTTGCATGGGATTAAGAGTTTATAATGATTTACGGGTTTTGAAGCATATCCCATGCCCAACAAGAGAAGAAGATCAAGGACTCAACCGCCTCCAACATTTGTTGCAGAACCATCTACGGAGTCGAATTCATTCGTTGGAACCGAGAATACATTGCTCCGGTGAAATGACTATTCAATTCTTGCTTAATGTTCATTAGTTCAGATTTAGCGTAATTCCTTCTTAACTGGTTCTACAGCAATATTTAGATTCTGTTTTAACATGACATGCATGGATTAATATTCGGAATTTTCTACAACATATTGCACAAAGAACTCACCTTCCCAAGTAGTATTCCAGTATGATTCCAATCCATCAATGATGGATGATTTATAGCGGTAGATGATATATGACTTTCACCATCATTTCGAAGATGACATAACAGAATTGCTCAGCATAATCTTTATGGATTTCGAACTACAATCAGTATGATGAAGTACAAGAACCAGCTTGTCTGATATGATTGTTTGCCTGTGCTGCTGAACTGAAATGCAGGTTAGTTTTGCAACTAGGCAGTTGATTAAGGCATTGTTAAACCGAGACCCCTCTAGCCGTATAGCTGAAGGCATTGGGTACAACACCTTTCGATTGCATCTTCCTGAAAATTCTGTTTGCATCATCAAGCTTGTGTGCTGTGCAGAAGCCATCAACAACAGCTGTGTATATAACAACTTCCGGGATTGTACTTTTTTCTCTCATTGATCCAAAAAACTGCATCGCTTCCTGGATTAGCCCATCTTTACATAGACCATCAAGCATCGCTATAACATTGGGGATAAGACCCGTTTCCTTGTTTTCTTGAAAACCTCGTCAACATCCTGTGGTGGATAAACCTTTTCTTCATGCTCATTCCTATGTATTGCTTCAGATTCTGAGGGCAGTTTTTTTCTCTATTGTTGTCAAGCCCGATCTTGAATTTTTCCAGGAAGTTCACATTATATGGAGAATATTCTCTCTAGTTTTTATGATCAGCATCAAGCTGAAACGAGGAACCATTACGATCAAAGTTGAAATGGGGTAATGGGGCTTCAAGGTTAAAATCTACATCAGCTTCGGAAAAACCCCCGAGCTTGTGATGATTCCATATTGTAGCACTGGTTTATAGTATCAAAGGTTGTTCTTTTCTTATTCAATTCAAAGAAACAGCTATGGGTTTTGACAGGGAGTGAGTGCTTAAGCTGAGAGAAGGTAGATTTTTTAGCCCAAAAGAATCAAATGTTGATCTTTTCCTTCTCAATTCAAAGAAACTGCTCTGGGTTTGACAGGGTGTGAGGGTATAAGCTCGGAGAAGTTAGGTTTTTGAGCCCGAAAGGAAGAGAAGAAGGGGAGAAGTTTAGAACTTTAGAACTTTAGGGGTAAAATAGAACTTTTACGTACAAGCATGAAGGGTAATAGCGGCAATACGGGGAACAAAATTGAGCAAATCCTAGTGTTTATTTCAGAGATAAACCCAGACCCCAGTATCAAAAGAGACGCTGGTTATTAGATAAGGCTTCACAATACGCAGAATCGGAGCACGAAGCTCCTTTTTATCCCAGTAGCTTATGCAGCTTTAATGCCCCCTTCAATCTAACCACTTACAGAGAGCACTTGGGTTTTGCCTTTGGTTTTCCCTATTTCAGCTTCAGTAGGTAAAGGCAATATTGCATCTTTCAATCTATTTCACCTATTAATCAACACCAATAGAATTGGAAACCCAGAGTAAAATTGTCTGTGTTTCTTTCAGTTTTTAAATATTTTGTTTGAGAGACTCTTGTGCTTTCGCTTTGTTGCTTGGTGTAATTCACTGAATTATTCTGCTTGGTCTTCCATTTGTTAAGTTCTATCATCATTTGTTTGTTTGTTTCAGCCCCTGAATCCATCTTCTGTGACTTTTATTCGGCAGTGATTACTTGTAAGAGTCTTCCTTCAAGAAGCTCTATTTACTCATTGCTTGCTTATTAACTATGCATTTGCTTTACAGCTTCTTAACTATGGCGTCATTGCAACATAATTAACTTGGGAGCCTTCAAGTTCTATTATCAATGTGAATTTGTGACTGTTTCTAGATATTAATGTTCTGTATTATGCATTTGTTGCAGACATGGAAGTTGCTAGCGTTCAAAATGGTGGTAGCATCATGTGGTTCTTCAGAGACAAAGGTTTTGATGATAAAAGTATCAACGAAATGTTCAAAAAGTGTAAGCGCCTTCAGGGAGTGCAGAAGGAAAGAGCCTCCGAAAACTGGTGTTACCTGAATAGCATTGGCATTCAAGAGAGAAAGCTACCTTCTATTGTTTCCAGGTGCCCCAAAATTCTTGCTCTTGGTCTAAACGAGAAGCTTGTCCCCATGGTCGAATGCCTTGCTACTCTGGGAACTAAACGCTGTGAAGTTGCTTCCGTCATTGCTAGATTCCCTCAGATAGTCTCCCACAGTGTGGAAGAGAAGCTTTGCCCACTCCTGGCTTTCTTTCAAGCATTGGGAGTCCCCGAAAAGCAACTAGGCAAAATGATATTGCTGAATCCTAGGCTCATCAGCTATAGCATTGAATCTAAACTCACAGAAATAGTTAACTTCCTTGCCACCCTTGGCCTTACCAGAGATGGGATGATTGGTAAAGTTCTGGCTAAATACCCGTTTATAATGGGTTATAGTGTCGACAAAAGGCTACGTCCTACATCCGAGTTTTTGAAATCGATCGGTCTGTCTGAGACAGATCTTCAAACAGTGACCATTAACTTCCCTGAAGTCTTGTGTAGAGATGTTAGCAAGGTTCTAAGACCCAATTTTGCATATCTCCAAAGAAGTGGATTTGGGGATAGAGAGATAACTGCCATGGTGACTGGCTATCCCCTGATTCTTATCAAGAGCATCAAGAATTCCTTAGAACCTAGGATTGGGTTCTTGGTTGACGTAATGGACAGGCAAACCGACGAAGTAGCCAATTACCCTGACTTCTTCCGTCACGGTTTGAAGAAGAGAATAGAGTTGCGGCACCGGCTTTTGAAAGAAAAGAGAGTCACTTGTAGTTTAAGTGAAATGCTAGACTGCAATCAAAAAAAGTTCCTATTGAAGTTTGGTTTGTTTAAAGGGCTTGCCTGAGGTACTATAAGCCATTAGCCACATTCCCATTCTCTTTGATTATCATTCTTCATATTGTAGCTTAATTGTCACCTTGGTACATGAAATGAAATATGCATGTGTTTTTTATCAACGAGAAACTAAGATCAGCTAAATTTTTGCCATTATCATCCAGTTCTGAACTTCAAATCTTCACTAAGTTTATGCAATGCCATAGTCCATAGTGATCAGTGATGGTCAAAATACCTAAACCGACAGTTCCCTGTAGAGGCTTTTTTTTTTCTTTTCAAATTTCAGACTTCAAGGCAGATTATATAGCATATAACTGCGGGACAAGAGTGGGTAAGGTGAAAAATCACCAACCCAACCCAACCCAATATAATTATTAATTTATCTTTTTATATATATAATATATTTAAAATTTTAAGGATTTTTATTTTTATATTGTTAAAATATGTCTTTAATTATTAAAAATATAAAAATTATTATAAAATACATTATTTTAACAAACTATAAATATATTATTTTAATTATTTTTAAATATTAATATATTTGAATCGGGTTGGAGATTTATTTTGAAAATCGAGACGGTTTCAAAGTAGGAGAAAAGCTAGAATTCATCTAGATGAGGCAAGATCGGGTATAAGCAATATATTTTAAAGTCCGAATCAAGACAGCCAAAATACCAGCCCATCCCGCCCTGTGCCCATCCCAAATAGTGATACCAGCATTTTGATGCATGAGGACGTTATCCAGAGATTTTCAGACTATTATCGACAGTGTCAACTAATCTCCACACAGTTTTACTAAAAAAAACTAATCACTCAGTTTCACAAACTGTGCACCTAAATGGCTAAGACACATCAACTATACTGTACATGGCTACAAACCAGAAGCTGTTCCTAATTGCTCACAGCATTCAAAGGTGAAGAAAAACCTAGGGTCGGATTGAAGACAAACTTGAAATATGAAATCAGATGGGATTAGATCGAAACTACATAGACGAAATGTGTCGCGGCATCACAGGCCATCTTTCATGCTGATCTTTATATTTTGCACTCTAATTGACAGCTGTAGCTTATGGTCTTCGATGTCTTTTAAAACAGAAAGCAAATTTGACCGGTAAACTTCACATTTTCGACTTGCAAACTCCAGCTCATTGGTGAGTTCTCGGATTTTCTTGTCTATGTCATCCTGAAAAACAATGAAGTACCCAATGTCAATTTTTTTGCCTTTTCGTTCTCTTGTATGTGCATATTCGGTGACTCTTTTTATAATTCTAGGATATAGAAAATGACAGTGAGTGGAGACATACTGGGAAAACCAGATTGTTTACATCCTAGCAATCATTGAACAAAGTCCCTGATGATAGCAGACATCAAATATCTAAAAAACTACATGATTGAAAGAAAGCATGGAAGGGAGTAAAATCAAATTGACCATTCAGTATGAACATGTTATGCCTTGCTTAATCATGAGCAGAAAACCTTGGGCAAACAAAAGATACTATGCTTTGACCTAAACTTGTAACCAGATTGTCCAACAAGAATATGGAATTAGCATGGTATATGATGCAAAAAAGGTCTCTAAGATCCGTTAAAGCATGAGGAAACACAAAACAAATTGTATTGGAGCTAAAGACCTAAGAAAATAGTGATGAACATAGCTTATACAAATTCATCAAGCAGATAATTCATTTGACTTCAAAGAAACATGATATATCATATTAACAATATAATAAAGAGAAAAGACGTAATTGTCAAAAAATTCACAGATGGAATAAGCCTAGAGACATTCGCTACCAAAAAAGAATGCTTGAATATGTGCTTTAGCCTCAAATGCTGAGCCTGCTGAGGTAACTCTACAACTTATCTATTCCCACTGAAATTAGGATTTGGGAGGTCCCCTTTAAGTTGATCGTGCAATCAAAAAGTTTACAAGTTTACAAATTACAACACAATTTCTAGACCTAACAATATCTTCAATGACATGGCATGGGACAGAAATAATCTCTTAGGTAAGGCTTACTACAATAAAAACAATTCCAAATGCAAGCGGTAAACCAAGTACTGAAGAAAATGGGAAAGCAAAAATTTACAGAAAAGTTCAAACAAGAATATTAAAACCACCTGTGTACATAGATGTTCATTCAAGATGTCATATGTAGAACAAGCAACAGGGATAACTGAATAATAGTTCTCACCTCAGATAAAGGTTGCTTGGGAATTTTGTGATTAAGATTATTTGCCCAATTAGCATCATGTGAAGAGTCACCCCTGATCCGCCCATTAACCAGTGTAGTCCTCCCATCATTCTTTGTCGCAAGTGCAACTCTTTTTGCAGCCTGTTGGAGAGCATCAATTGCCACATTGCATGCGTCTAAAGACTTTGATCCTTCATCAACAAGCTTGAAGGCCTCATGACGTAGGGTATTATATCGGACTGTATGAGATTCTAAATAATTAGTATATACATCGCTAGAACGTTCTTCTAATATGACACTACTCCTTGCATTTTTTGTCCATCGTTTCAAAATATAATGAGAAGGGAGTGTAAGGACATTGGTTACTCTGAAAACTGTCAATATATGTCTACAGAGAATACCAGAGAACTCAAACATCTGGCAGCTACAAGCGGCTTTCATTTCTAAAACATTGAACTTAACATAGTAGGATTTATGATCCTCTCCGAACTTTGCCACCTGATATCTTATAGTATCATCATCATCATCTGATTTTGATGCCATGAATGTCAGAGTCCCGACTAGCTCCTCTTGAAATCTCATAAACAGTTTTCTGGTATAAAGCTCTGACGCCTGCTTCTCCATTGGAGATGGGGTCTTCAGAGCAGGGGAAGTGTTCATTGTATAATAATCTGCTTTCACTTCTTTCTCATTTCGACTCTCCAGAGCTTTCTCATAGAGCTTAAAGAACTGATTCAGATTGGTTGAAGCATTCACAAAGCCATCAAAGTACGAGTTCATACCATCACTTCGTTGGGTTATCGACATCTCAGCAAAAAAAGTGTCCCGCAGATATACAGGGATCCAATGCCTGCGGTCATTGTAAATCATCTGAAGCCATTCATGATCCCTGAGTTCATATCGATCTACAAGAGACAACCAACAAGACTCAAACTCCTCAATCAATTCAGGCAAGTTAACACACTTATGGAAATCTGCTTCAAAAGTTGGATGCTTAAGGAACACATGGGACAACTTCTCCTGGCATTTCTTGAAGATGTGCCATTTGCAGAAACGGTGCCGAGTCTCGGGGAAAACCTGCATAATGGCTGACCGAATAACAGCATCATGATCAGTGGTGATAGACACAGGTGGACGACCAGACATTGCCATAAGCCAAGTCTTGAACAGCCAAACAAACGATGCTTCAGATTCATTTATTAAAAAAGCACAACCAAACAAAACTGGCTGTCCGTGGTGGTTTACTCCAGTGAAAGGTGCAAAAGGTAGACGATACCTGTTCGACCTATAGGTAGTATCAAACGTAACAGTATCTCCAAAGTAAGTATAATTCATCCTAGATTTGGGGTCAGCCCAAAACACATTACTCGTCAAAGCTTGATCCTCGTCACCCTGAACAGCGAAAAATAAATTCGGGTTCTCAGCTTGCATTTGCCTCAAATAATCCAAAAGTAGTTGAATATCTCCTTCTAAGCTCCTCTGCCGATTATTCCTCATATAATTCCTACAATCCACTTCTGTAAATCCAACCTTACTAATTCCACCATATTCTTTTATTAAAGCAGACATAATCCGACGAGGCCCCATCCCAGCACCCTGCAATGTATCAATCAAAGTCTTAGCAGGCCCAGATATCTGCCTATGAGACCGAAGACAATGAACCTGGTCAGGAGGAACAAGCTCATGATTATGTTCTCTAACAAATCCAGACACAACCCATTTCCCCGAATCCTGCACTTTAACAGACAAAGAAGCCTTACATCCCACTCTAGTAATAGTACGAGGACGCTTAATCTCCCTATCTTTTGTTCTTTTCTCATTCAAATTCCTAAACCCTTCTTTAGCACAAACAAACTGTCTCTGAATAATTGCTCCATCGCGCCTAGAACGACGAGAAGAACTTACACGCGTACTGAAACCGACGCGGCGAGCATAAGAATTGTAGAAGGCCTTTGCGGCTTCTTCAGACTCAAATTCCATACCTTCATATGGCTCAAGATCCAGTAGGTCCCCTTCTGGGAGGTAAATTTCGCCGCTTCCGTTTCGAAAGCCACCTCCACTGCTATTGGAAGCAAGAAGTGAAGGAGCAGGACTATCAGCCATGTCCTCGTCAATGTCTAACCCTATATTGGCATCATCATCGCCGTCTCGACCGCTGCTACCTCCTCCACCTAAGCCAATGTCGAATTCAAGAACCTCCAGATCCATATTATTGTTTTTTATTTATTTTTTACGAAAAAATGGGGGGGGATTAATGCTGTGAAGGTGGAATTGAAGTGGCCAAGAAGGAAGTAAGCTTGGGCATGGAAGGCATTAAAAAAACGAGGGAGGAGGTTGGTTTTCTGTAGAAAATGAGAGAAACCCTAGAATCGAGATTTTATGAAAGGGGGATTGAAATATAGAATAGAATAGAAAAGTGAAAAACAAAGAGAAACAATGCAAGTCTAGGCCTCTAGAGGGGAAATCTAAAAGGTTGCAAATTGAGGTGATAATTACGTTTGGATTTGGGAGTTTAATGTATCAAAAATTGATTTTTTTAAGTGGATTTGACGTTAAAATTTTTGCTCGATTTAATGTAATTTATAATTTAAAAAATTAAAATAAAATTCAAACACTCAAAATTTGTAATAATTAGTCGATTAATTTTTAAATTTAAAATCGAGTTTCTTAATTCTACATGATATATGTATATCATATAGGCAAAAAATATAAAGAAATGTATATGTATATGCATATTATATATAATTATAAAAAATTATTTAAATTGAAATCAATTAGTATAATAATATTATGAATATTTATAATTAAATTAAAACAGAAATTAAAGGCAAAACTATGATAAAATTCTGGGAAGTGTTAAGTTATATATCTTTGAAACTAACAAGATTCTAAAAGGTAATTAAATCATAAAAAATAGAGGATTTGAGTTTAATTTCACTAATTTTAAAGTTGTCATGT